CTAATTTTTAAATAACAAGCCTCTGAAATTGTTCTGCATTGGAGATCTACCAGGTTTTTATTCCTTCTATGCCTCTGGGAAATCCTTTCAATTGTAGCTGGGTTCATCTAGAGCGCACTAAGATAGGGGGAAGTGGTCTATAATCACAAGACAGGGAGGAAGCTGACGTTCAGAGCAAACATCTATTCTCTCTCTGCCCCCCCCCCATACACTCAAAAGCAAAATTCTGCACTTATCAACTGCTTTACATCAAATTATTTTAAAGTGAGAGTAGATTCACGCATTGTGCTATGCTATAGTTTATTTAGCAATGATTCATTGAATAAAGTTTGGACAGCACACTAAACTACATAGCATGCTTTACAAACCACAAAGATTCAGATGTTACATTAAGAGAAATCTAAACAAACCAAGTCAGTCCTAGAGGAGATCAACCTTAACTGCTCTTTAGAAGGCCATATCCTGAAGATGAAACTCAAACACTTTGGTCATCTAATGAGAAGGAAAGACTCACTGGAGAAGAGCCTAATGCTGGGAAAGACTGAGGGCAAAAGAAGAAGGGGACGACAGAGAAGGTGGTGTCTGGATGGGCGTGAACTTAAATGGACTCCAGAGGATAGTAGAGGACAGGAAGGCCTGGAAGAATGTTGTCCATGGGGTCGCGATGGGTCAGACACGACTTTGCAACTAAGAACAACAAAAACAAGCCATTCAAAGGGTTAGCTTAAAAATTAGGATCTTGGAAAGCTTGGGTCATGGCACCATCTAACTGTGAGAATGAAGCCATCACTTGCACATCAAGTTGGCTTATTGCTTGACTGAGTTACCTGTTAGCCTTGCTCTCTTGCCTTAGCTGTCTCTTTGGGCAATGAGGGCAGAAATATTTCCCCGATTCCAAGGCTCTGAAAAATTTATATAGGCAACAAAACAGTTGACTATTTCTTTGTTTTTAACGATATGAACTTTGGTCTCTGTTTTTGTAAAATGTTAACTCTTAAAATATTATTAATATATGAATTAATACATGCATCTTCTGTTTTTCTGCTGAATGCCATTTAACTTCAAGTATTAAGCTTTCAGTATTGCAGAACAAGAGGTGCTATGATTTCTTCAGATTTACCTGCACCTTTTTAGATCCTGTACTTATCTAATAAAAAGCTAATGATCCAGATGCCTCCCAAATACCAATATTATTTCCCACCTGCCCACAGTTGATCACAGAGTCAATTCCTTGTATTCACCCATTGTCTGCCCACATGCATCCAAGCTGTTCTTCGCACCATAAAAATTGGCAACTTCATTTATTTTGTTGCTGTTTTTATTTTCAAAGATTTTCAGGATGCCACATTGTTCTGCAGCCTGTGTTATGTAGGGCCTAGGTAGAACAGAACTATTCTGACAGAAAACAGATTTTATATAAATATCAGAACTTCACATTAGCATTTAAAAAAGGCAGACAGAAGATAAAAATAAAGTGTGCATTTCACAGTTACACTGTGAGAATTTCAGCCAACCCACTATTTGAAGAATGATTTCCCACTCTTGAAGCTGGAAGGCTGTTTTACAGTGAGAAAGCGATTTGATGTTTGTATGTGCTAATCTTATACTTAAATTGCATCTATTTGCGAACATGCTCGAATCTTTCCTTCAGTGTTTAATCAAAAGAACTTCTCACACTACTAAAGAAAGAAAGGGGAAAAAAAAACATCTTGCTCACAAGGAAACTATTTCGGGATGCATTAATTTAGGAAGTCATGCTCCAAACAAAAGAAGATGGTATAAAAACAAGCTCAGATATCACCAGGAGGGAAAATGGTCAGCTTCTTTTGCAAGGCTACTTCTTAATTGTTCCAGCCATAAATGTAACTATCCTTTGGCTGAAAGGTGATAAGAAAGTGGCAGTGTCCAAAGAAAGTGGTGTAAGCTATATCAGATAGAGACTGATTCTTTTTCCTTACTACATCACAATTAATATGTTTTGTGTATCAGATGTATGCATATGCCTAAAATCTGCTGGCCTGGTATTATCTTATTTTGTAGTACAGGAAGACCTAATCTTGCCATCGAATAGAATAAGGTGATCCAGTCTGAAAGTAGTAGGAGAGAACTACTCCTAAAGTTTCAGGTATTCTATTGTCATTTGTAAAACACCACTTTGGAATGAAGCATTTTTTATAACTAAAGAGGCAGTACCTCAGGAAGAAACTATGTCCGTGATGGCGAACTGTGGCAGGCCGAGCTCTCTCTGTGGGCACGCGAGCCGTCATCCCAGCTCAGCTCCACCGTGCATGTGCGTATGCCTCACGCTGGCCAGCTGGTTTTCGGATCTCTGCCATGTATGCATGGTGGGGCAGGGCGCATGCAAGAGACACACGTGTATGCATGGGTGCATGTGCGTGGGATTAAGTGTGTATGCACAGGGGGCGTATGTGGGGGACAAGCGGACATGCACCGGGGCAAGGGGGGCACAGAGGGTTGTGTGTCCATGTGCGGGGAGGTCACACACACATTGCATTATGGGTATGTGTGTATGCTTTCAGCATGTGGTGCCGAAACGTTTAGCCATCACTGGTCTATGTTCTCGCTCTTTGCTATGCTTATTTTCTAATTGCAATGAGTTCATATAAGGCAATTGGGTTTTTTTCCCATTAAAATGTCTCACCTACCTGCAGTGTGAACTAGTACAGCCATTTCTCACTGACACGTCAATCTGCCATTTTCAGTTGAGATCTGAGAGAGAAAAACAGCACCATGCTACATGGACTAAAATCCACAAAAGATTGTTTCAAAAATTTAAACACATATCCTTCCTGTTCACCTAGCATCGTAAGTACTGAAACAATGCCAGATGATAGTTCTCCCAAAGTGTATGATTACAAAAATGTCAGCATATAAGAACACCAAGCAATATTCAAGCATTCCTACAAGCTGGAGCCTTCATATTTGGGCTGCAAAGATCTAAATGACCAGAAGAGGAATGCAAAGTAGTAGAATGTTCTACCTTTCTTTGTGGCCATCTAGAGGTTGTCTGGATATTTTCAGCTCATATATGACAACCTTACCATAAGCTCTAGGCTACCAACAGCATTTCCAAAGACGAAAGGAGAGGGAAACAGCTTCACATCATATATAGCAACTAGATTTGTACATATTGCACAAATCTGAATTTTATATAATCATTTTTGTGAATAAGCCAATGTAGCTGGCTTCCCACCCTGAATTTTAAGCCAGAAAGTACAATTTATAAATCACAATGATTATATTCACAAAAGATGCTAAAACAAATCCAATTAAGTCACACCATGGAATGGTATTGAACCAATGATGAAGTCCATTCCACATGGGCCCATTTCACATAACAGTAGGCTGCCAGAAATACAAATAAGTTTCAGTCAGTAAAGAGCATCTCTTTATCCAGTAGAATAACCGAAAACTGAAAAAGGAATAAGGGGGGGGGGGAGAAACAGCACACGATCAAGGACTTGTATCACTGAGGGAGGGAGGAACACATCACAAAATATGGCAGGCAATGGTTATATGTAACTTTCTTTCTTTTTAATGGTTAGATAAACCTACTGACAATAGATGTTCGTTATGAAATATATTAAGCTGCTTCTGTAACATGTCCAGGTATTATCTAGGATTTCAGGAACAGAATGTGTGCTCCTCTCAATCAGGACTGTGCATGTTTCTAAATGATCCCAATGTTTCTGAATACGTGATAGTGCAAGCATAGCATCTATCTCTAGTTGTTGTTTCTTTTGTTAGGCTTCCAATGATTATTCTGAAAAAAGAAAAAGACAGCTGCTTTAAAGAGGTGCTTATGCTTTTGCTCTAATACAAGGGTGTCAAACTCAAGGCCTGTGGGGCTGTCCTGGAAACAGCGAAGGACCGGCCCGTGGTGCTTCTGCCAGCGAAAACAGGCTCCCGTGCTTCGTTTTGGCAAGGATATACTCAAGGACCGCGCCTGGCCCTCCCGAGCTCTGTTTTCACTGGCAGAGCACTCGGGCCCCCACAGGCTTCCCTGACAGGAGTGACGCCAAGTTGGCCATGACCCCTGCCCCCCCCAAGGTAAAATCGAGTTTGACACCCCTGCTCTAATGCATTCCATAACATTTCTTTCAAACTATTCTTGAAGCATTCTCAGAGCTACTGTAAACTCTTTTATACTCGCCTCTTTTATACAAGAGCCGAGGTGGCGCAGTGGTTAGAGTGCAGTACTGCAGCCACTTCAGCTGACTGTAAGCTGCAGTTCGGCGGTTCAAATCTCACCGGCTCAAGGTTGACTCAGCCTTCCATCCTTCCTAGGTGGGTAAAATGAGGACCCAGACTGTGGGGGCA